CAAGCATGACCCCAGTTTCTGGAGCAGTGTTCCAAACTAACACTGGTTCTGGAGAGCAATGGAAAGGGACAGACTGTAGTAATGAGGCAATCACAGGCATAATCCTGCTCCTGCATCCTCTAGAAACTCAGTGTTAAGCTGCAGAAGCAGGAGCCCTCAGCAGCCTCAGCCCAGGCAAAAGGCAGCATTGCTGCTGCCAGCAGYCTGACTGAAGGCACCCTCTCAGAGTAGCTTTAGACTGAATTTCTCACTCTGGTGCTCCAGCTCTTCAGCAGTGCAGAGCTGCTTTCCAGCAATAAGTCATTTATGTCTAGCTGCAGCATATTTATGAGCAAGAAATCTCCTTTTACCTGAGGAAAAAAAAAAAAAGCTACTTTAGAGCAACTATCTCTTTCATTTCACCTCGCTTAATGAGCACCAGCTACAGACATTCTTCTTTTAGCCACATTTCCAGGAGCATGAAGAACTCTGTGTGGGTCTGCAGGGTGCTCAGCTCTTAACCCTTCCCTCCATATCTGATGTGTGGATGACAAGTTAGGAAAAAAAAAAAAAAGAGTATTTTAAAATTGTAACACTTCATAGCAGTCCACATTTTGGGTCTTTTGAATCTGAAAATTCAATTCCCACATTTGTGTGTGATTCATTGCAAATATTCCATCAAAATGGGCTGCAAGAGAAAACTGGATTTGTAGCTGCCTGCTCTCTTAATGGAGATCCCCTGTGCTAGATTATAAGTGAAAATTTTCCTCCTCAACAGCAGTAGCAAAGTCCATTTTTCTTGTCTCAMAAAATAGCTGAAAATTTGTACAAAAACCAAGTTTGTTTTCAACCTGACTTCAATGTGAATTTGAGTTTTAAGGATCAACACGATGGTCCAGCTATAACATTGATACTGAACAAGGGGACATGTAATTCACCCAAGAATAATTTTCTAGGGCACTTATGGCACTTAACACTTATTGAATAACAAAAAAGTAGCAGATAAGCCCAGGCAGAGAGCACTTCTGTCTGGTATCTGCAGCCACCACAATGCCAAGCGTGTCCTTTGCAAGTGGCATCACTCTCTGGCACTGCCAGGCTGGGTAGAATTAGTCAGGATTTTGTAGGTTTTTTCCTTTATCTGTGGAATGTCAGCTTCCTACATTACATGGCTGATGTGAGCAAAACAAAGGTCTGCCTGCACTGGAAGGGAGTGCGATGGAGACATTCATTTCCCCGGAATAGGTAGTGTAACAAATCAATCCTGACTGCACTGATAAATTGAACTTCAAGCTTGGTGATACTGCTTTTCAGGTCTAATTCAGTGTAAGACACAGCAGGAAGGAAAGGCAAAGGCACTCGTTAGCATTTCATTCTGCAAGGAGCTGCTCCCTGAGCAGGGGAGGAAAAAAAAGWAAAAAGATTTTTCGCCTTCTTTTTCCGCACAGCATTGCAACAGTTTTTAAGGAAGGTGACATGGGGTTCACAGGAACCTGTGGGTGTGTGTGCAGGTAGAGGGGTGCAGAAGAACTACTCAGAGATCACTGGCTGCTTGCCAAGCCTCAAACTTTGGGATGGGGTCATAACTTGAGCTCCTGGATGCCGATAAGAAAGAAGCTCTGCTTATGGGAAAAACCCAGTTCCGAGCAGTAGGAGGATTCCAGAGCAGCAATGCTGTGATGTGCACAGAGAGAAGGACCTCAGGATGGTTAGGTCTAGGTCAAATCTTATCTCTTAACAGGGCCCCAGGCTGAACACAGATCACTCACCCGGGGAAACWGCAGAAGTTCTTCATTTTTTAAGTAAACAGGAGTCCTGCTCCTGTGTAACATAGTAGCCATCACTGGGGACCTAATCTTTTCCCCTCAGYACTGTGTAAATAATAAAGGACAGTTTTGCCCTTCAATTTTCTGAATCTGGATGTGAATATCATACCTCTGTATCACACTCCAGCTTTTCACTCTTTTACACATGGGAGCATAGGTTTGTATTCAAACAGAGTCTAGCAGGACTAACTTTAGGAGGAGCCTCCACAGCCCTCCATGTTTGAGTAAAATGTGTGAAACAATGATCTGAACAGYTCACAGAGGAAATAAAAAAAGAATTTTAGGTTTGCAAATGTTGAAATCTCATTGTCTGAACTGAGTCTCCTGGTGGAGTTGTAGGTCTGGAGAGTGGGGGAGCGAGGACTGGTAAACACTTGGATTCAGCAGTGGCTTTGACTCCATRTTGTCTCTTCACTCCCATCACTGCCCTGTGCAAAGGTCTGCACTAGTGGTGCAYTTTGCACCCACTCTGCTCAGTGGACAGTTTTGAGGCACCACCTGCCCTTGGAAACAGGCTTTTCCCTCCAAAAGTTCTCATTTTTATAGTGCCAGTCTAATGACAACTTGCCCTTTAGAGATCCATTYGTAGGTTGTAGAGTTAGGATTACATATACTGCTTAATAATCAAAAACAAAGCAACATTACTCATTCTGCAACAGAGCATCTTGTGGTATGATCAAAGTCTGCTGGCATAGCTTGGACAGCTAGCAGACTGCATTAGCCACTTTCATTACTAGAGTATYTCCCAGCAAAGGACTGCAAGAAGCTTTCAGGGAAGGCAGAGGTTCTGGTGGCCCCACTGTAAAACTGATAAAAAGGAGAGATGTGACTTCAGACAGAGAATYACACTGCAGTGCCTCAATAGCATTTAATCCATTACCCAGAAAGAAATACACAGATTGAGTATTTCTGCCTATCTCAAACCTGGGCCAGCTTGGTATCTCTCTAGGGTGGTCATCCCTAGCTGCCTAAGGGCAAGAGCCCCATGATCTTGGGATGGTTTGCCTTGTGGTAACTTGTCCACAGAGGACAGCTCTTCCCCTTTTGCCTGAAACTGCCACAGCTCTTCACTGAAGCCACGACCTTGCCAGCCATGCTTGTCATTCCTGTAAGTCTTAGCTGGTTTTGAACCGTGTTAGGCTTGGGAGTAGAGCCTGTCCTGTTGCCACCAAGACAGAAGCCCTGATCATTCAGAAGGCATGTGAGCAGTAAGGCTGACTTGTACCTGTTGTACCCCAACTGCACCCTAAATGTGTGCACCAACTATAACCAGGAAACATGAAATATTTCCACTTGTATGTATGTATTTGCAGCAATAAGCTCTAGCTGAAGACTTTGTTTGCAAAGGGTTGATTAGTTTCTTTCAAGTTCATCTCAGTCTTATTGTAACAATATACTTCACCATCCAGTTCCTCTTCCCACTCCAGAYATTATTCGCTATTCTTGTACCTGCMTTTTCCAAAGGATTTTTATTAGCAATACTAGTCTCAAGCCACAGTCCCACTTTTCTTTCATTTCTGCTAGAGCAATACCACCCACTGCAAAGCTCAGCATCCCTGTAAATGCTGTGCTTACAAATGAATGCATCCTTCAGCAGCATTTTAGACCATTTTTTCACAATGCACATTGTAAATGAGGAGTAATATATCTTCAGAATTGCCCAGAAAACATTATTCTGTTAGCAATATAAAAGCTTCACAGTGTCCGAGTAGGTGCCCTTGCCAAAAACATTTTATTGTGAGCCAGCTAATTCAGTTTGAATTGTACATGGTTTGGTATAATCATTCCAGTAAAGCATTCTTTACAATTCTGTAACAGCAAGTCACATGGCTCAATAAAGTTTATTGCTGCAAATGYTTAGTGATTCATGGCATGGATGAATTCTGTTTCTTTCCTGGATCAAGTAATCAATAGCAAAATAATCTCCCAGCAATTACATTGCTCTGCATTAAAGAGGTGTGAAGTAAGTACAAAATCTGATAGAAAAAAACAATGTGTACAACATTAAAATGAACTGCAATTTGAAACTGGGTGTCCTGCACCAGTTTTACACACATCCTGYGGCAGAGCGATGTCCAACACACTCCCAGCCTTAACTGACACTTGCTCAGCTGATTACACATTGTGCAACAAATCCAGTTAGGACTGACAGATTTCCATCCCATCCTGTCCAACAGAGCTTGCTGTGAACAAACACTCTGCACTCAGACAGATCCCCCTGCACATCCCCATGGGTGCCAGGAACCTCTTCTCCAGAGCGCACTGAGAAAAGCAGGACCTACGCTCCCTTAACCAACCTTTTTGGTTCTTCCAGCGCTGCTCCTGCACACAGTAAATCAGTGTTTATAACATCCCCTGCTGAGTTGAGTGCAAATTAAATCAGCCTAATTTAGTTTGCACCATCATGTTCAGCTGCGAGTCACAAAAGGAAACAGAGGAGAGTGTTGAGAGGGGAGCTGCTGACAGAGCCTCCCCAGGAGCCCGGCGGGACACGGAAGCTCCTTGGAAGCCCAGGGGGACACAAAGCCCAGTGGGACACAAAGCCCAGTGGGACACAGAGCTCTCGGCTATTCCAGGGGCCCTGCGTGTCCCTGCTTCCTCTAACCTGCTCTGCTTCACAGACCTGAGTCCTGTGGCTCCAGTGACACCACAGTCGGTCACTCACAATAGATGATAGATATATCATCTGTAATAACCAAGTACTGACACAGCCATCTATTTATCTGGTTCTAACAGTTTTCTCATAAAAACAGGATGARAATGATATTGCCTAGAAACAGACTGTTCTGGGGAATAAAGTGCATGCTGTTGTTTTTACTGTTTAATGCCTCCTGACTGGGAACACTTACATGCAATGGAGTTCCTCCATAAATATGCCTATGCTATTGTGCAGGCCTCAGTGCAGTGGTAAGCACATCCCTGAGCTCAGTCTTTTGCCCATGGTAACTTTCTTATCCACAGTCCACCTCATTAACGAATCTTACATGCACTCTGAAAAAATATTTATGAGATTAAGCACCTAAAAAGTCCCAAAAAGCCAGAGGGAAGACTGCCTGYGCAAGCTGGATATAACTCCTTCCTAGAAAGGCATTAGAGTATGGTCTTTCATTATATGTTCATTCCCATTGGAGCTGTTTCATTTAGCATCCAGACTCAGACTAGGCTGTGCACTGTAAAAGAGGCACAATTGAGCTGTCTGCAGGAATGCAAAAAAAAATAAAAATTAAAGAAAAGTCAAAATCAAAGCAGCAACCTGTAACAGGCACTTAGCATGGAAACTTCCAGCCAAAAAAATTAATGGTAAGAAAGTACAAAAGGATCCTACAGATAGATGCATCAAGTAACTCTCTCATGGATTTTGACATGAATGGTCCCACTTACACCATGCTCTCCAACGCTGTTCCCATCCACACACCAAGGTTGCACTATTTAATTAACTAGAACATACATTTACCTGSATCCTTTAGAAGTACACACACACCCTATATAAAAACTAATTGATAAATATCCAAAAGTTTTACCACACAGCTCCTATATCATGCTACAGAGAACATTCATTCCCTGGCAGTCTCTGGAGACTTAAAAACAATGTGGGATCAGTTTACTTTTAACTGTACCATAATCAGTTTACTTTTAACTGTACCATACTTTTCAATTTGAAAAGAAAACCCACTGTGTTTCTGAAATAAATACTCAATCATCATACAACAAACATCTGGAGGCCCAGCTCATCGCTTGGTCAAATCAACTTAGGGTCACTTCAATAGGGCTATGTTAACTTATAAAAGCAAAAGAGATTGTTTGAATGCTTGCAAATCACCTTTCCAAGTCAGACCAAGGAAAGAGTGTCCATTCATTCAGTAAGTCTCTATCTCTTCTTTCCCAAAGCACACAGTTTCCAGTCCTCTACCATGGGCCTAGCAGAACTGGGATTCCCTCTATCAGGGCCAAGCTACTCAGGACAGGGGCCATTTATCTCTCAGACTCAAGAGCCCCATCACAAAGCACAGCCTCCGGGCACTACCACATGTGCTTGTAACTGCAGCATAACATCAGCATGAAGTAGGTGACCCCAACAACTGAGCCACCATGCTCTAGGGTGTCACACTGCATTCATAGTGATTGGCATCCAATGGTTTCTCCTCAGAAGGGCTGTCTGAAGTGAAACAGGACTCAAATATGTTAATTAGAAAAACTTCAGTTCACCAAGTCTGTGCTTATTAGCTTAAGTCTGCTTGAGGGAAAGAGTTTTCGTAAGAAGTAAGAAGTTGAAACAAGGCAGCCTTCTTCATCCTGGTWCAGGTCTGGTTGTCCTCTCCTCTACAGCATTGCCTCAGGAATAAAGTGTCATCATCATCCACTGTAAAACAATATGGAAAGAGGGTTGAAATAACCCAGCCCTTCAACCCCAGAGCTCTGCCATATTCACACCTGGAGTGGACTGTGGGGCATTGGAGATACCCTGCCTCCAGAAGGAATAGATGCCATAAGAAAGCAGAAGACTTAGAAGCCTGAACCTCCCTGTTGTTTGTAACCTGCCCTGTAAGTGGTTGGTTAAAGAACAAAACATGCAGTGCCACATGCAGCCAAGGGGCCTGCATTTGAAAGTCAGGGAATGGGCTTTACCTCAGATTCCCGAAGATAGATCCCTTTGCCATCTTGTGTTAAGTTGCGAAAGGCCTCTGCAAAAGAAGCAAATGAGAAGTGTTAACTTAACAGACAAGAGATCACCAGAGTCAAGGCACTGTCTCAGGATAAATCTCAAAAGCAGAGTCAGTAGCCTATTCACAAGTGCATGTGAGCTTCTCTGTTGTCACTGGAAGATACCTGAAGGCTGGRACACTGGGAGCAGCTGAATAAAGTCAGGTATGTCACTGTCTGCCCATCCATCTGTGAGACCTCCAAATGCTGGTGGTCCCAACCTTACTCACTACAATTSTGAAATATGTGCTAAGTGTCTACAGCATGAGTTGAGTATCAGCTGTCTCATCATCACAACTGCAGTCCATTAAAGACATATTCCAAAGTTTTTTTTTCTTCCTGGAAATGGTATATTTCAAGGCTGCCCTCTTCATGGGAAACAAGTAGTCTTCATCTGTAATTTGCCTACCTCTTCCTACAGAGGGCTGGTACAAACCTGCAGAGAGCTTAATTACTCTGACATGTACAGCTYGGATGTCTGTAGGAAGGGACTGGTGGGAAGGTAAAGAGAGAGAGCTTGTCTTCCTCTGTATCTGTCCCTTCCTTTAAATTGATTAKTCTTGGTTTATTCAAAAATCCAGTCTTGCTGATTTTGACCTTGCCACTGCCAGTRGGAGCAGCCTCAGAGGGGCCAGGGCTCAGCTGGCAGCCCAGCTTGCCTGGCCAGACACGGAGCGCCAGCCTCACCTCCCATGATCTCCACTCGAAGCATGAAGCAAACAAAGCTCTCAAAGCTGATCTGTAAGTCAGGRTCACCATATCTGATTGCCATCAAATTACAGACTTCATTGCTGAGTGAAATGCCTACATAAAATGGTGGGGGGGAAAGRAAAACAGAATGAGATGGCAGAACTGAGTGGTCTTCTTCCCTTCTTCAACAGCTTTGTTTTTCAAGCCTGTTCTAAGATAATCAAATATTAGCCAGCCCAGATGAGACCTCTATATGAAGATATCTCTTCCAAATTTAAAATTGTTCAGGTGTATAGCTCCCCTACACCTACAGTCCTTCCAGAGTTGGAATGAAACATAAATAGGCCTTTTTTGCTCATGGGATATGAGGGTAATAACTGCAGCTGGGTTTAAGAGCAATATTCCCAAGAGGGTAGSAAAGGAGATGAAAAAGAAAATCCAGAGGAAGCTCATACAGAAAGCATCAGTCCCAATGTCAAGCAGCAGCAACACTTGCAAGGAATAAAAGCATTTTCTATTCATGGCCTGGGATTTTAGTTTGCTTTAGCAGAGGTCTGCCTGTGTTTCTCACTGTGCTTTCAATGACTCAGATGAACTGGGTGAACATGTACCAAAAAGAGGAATGATATTTAAGGTGTAAACATGCAAAAGAAGCTACAAGACTGAGCTCCAGCCCCCAYACAATGCCCAGCAACAGCAACAGAGCTTGGTCCAGTATTTGGCCCATATGTATGATCTTTCATTTCTAGATCAAGGCTCAGACACTGCATTAATGAAGTCTAGCACCAGTACTGCCTCCGTGCAAGTCCCACACTTCCACGTTGGGTCTCTGAGCTGTCATCTCCAGCAGAGGCAGCAATTTAATAGGAGCTAGACCTGGCTTCCTGCATCCACACAACCCCACACAATCTTTTAAAATTCAATTAGCAACAGGAAGGGATTTAAAAATTGTGTCTGAAATAGGCAGACACTTCTATTTCAAACAGGTCTCAGAGCAAGATCACACTAAGCAAAAATTGAGCAGCCCATCCCATRGCAAAATAATTTTCAGCTGTGTTTACCCAGCTAAAGATGGAAGAAGAGATGACCAAGGCCTCATAAATGATAATGTTTTCCACTTCTCCTGGGCTCTACACAATTATCAAGATGTTTCCCAGCCCTGTGCTTTTTTTCAGTTTCATGAGCAAGAAGATGAGACTTGCCAAAATATGTTGTGGGCTCACCTGTCTCCTGTACAGCTGCATGCAGTTCCACAAGGTCAAGCTTTCCTGATCTGTTACTGTCTCGCTTCTGGAAAACTTCCTGTGGSGTGAGGGAGTACTTTTAAACAAACCAAACCACCCMAAAYCCAACAGATGACACCAAAGGGATTGTGAGCAGGGAGAWATTGAAAGGGGGAATAGAAATTATTGTCATACCAAATAGAAAAGCAGCCTTTTCCACAGGACTCTGAATTCCTGGATACTCAGTGTGCCAGTGGCATTCAGCTTAGTGGGAGAATTCAGGTCAAAACATCTCAGTTAAACACTAAAGAGCACCCATTACATATATAATAGAAAAAGAAAAAAAAAAAGAAAACAAACCAAAACCCCCAACAACCCAAAAACTTACAGCCACTCTAACATCCACGCAATTATGAGGAAAATTATTTCTTAGCCCACATACCTATTTATAGACTTGATCCTCCTCCCACTACAGTCAATGGAAAYCTGGCTGCTGATTTCAGAAGCAGCAGGAATCAACCCTTTCCCAAACCAGCTCCATTCTGTCACAGCTGAACTATTATTATGGAGGGTGAGAAGTTCAATAAGCAGGGCCATGTCCTGGTGGTAAAGAAATCACAGTAATACCCAGCCTGCCCTAAGAAATAATGCTCCAGTGAAGTATTATATGAGTCAGAAGTATCACTCATGATAAGGATACATCCAGGAGAGCCAAGATACCCTGGCAGGAATCCAGACTGAAACTCAGGCGAAAATTCTGGAAATCTAGAGAGAGAACCAAAAAAAAAATGTTTTGGGGAGTCATTGAACCTCTCTCAGAAAAATGGACTCTCACAAAATCCCCCCTTACTTATGAGGGCTCAGGCCCCAAAGCCTTTGTGAAGCTTTACACCTACTTGAGAAGATGTATCATTTATGATGATAAAAATATGAGGCAACAGGATGGATTCTACTAGTCTCAGAAAATCCAATATGAGCTCCCTGCAGGCATGTAATAYAGAATGAAATATGGTACACTATCTCCAGCTATTAGAGAAAATGGAAGGAAAAGGACATCCAAAGCTCTAATCCCAAACAAAATTTACTGCATGACCTTGAGCAAAGTCACTTGACCTGAAGAGCTTTGGGGAACAGCACTGCAGATTAATTGAAACCCTTGTACTAAGYGTCTCTCTCTCCCTCTTTCACAGACACACTGCCAGCTCTGTTAATATAATTAAAAGTACAGGCACTGCTGAAAACAYGATGCTGCCTCAAAGCTTAGCATTCCTGGTTCATATATAAGTTACATGAAGAGTAACAGAAATAGGCTCTAATCTCACTGCAAATCTTGATTACAGTTGGTCTGTACCTTCCACTGAGTAAGGAACAGAATCATAACTCAYCAATCCCTTCTCTGCAGAAAGTCAAGATGCTTTAATAATTTTAACACTGTAATAGCTCTGTTTAGTAAAGATGAATCAAGTATTGTAAAGATTTTAAAATACTTGTCTTAAAATCAATAATTTATGACAAATACACACTCCCTATTCAACATAGTCTTCTCAYAGAGAAGACAGTGCCTGGTGGCTCAGTTCACAAAGACAGAAGAAATATCCTTGTCCACCTTCATAGAAAARAAAAAGAGTAATATCAAATTCAGTTTAAGTGGAAAAGGCATCACATCAGTCTTTTCATCATAGTCTTTGTTGCCTGTAATGGCTGGATAGAGTATTTTCTGTGTTGCATARTGATTGTTACCTGTGAAGAAACTGAGAAGAAAATCTGGATTCATCATTATATCTGTAATTTCATTGTCATTGTTCAAAAAGAACAATGCAATGCCTCACAGCTGTCCAGGTATTGGTATTTATGACTAAGGACCAAACTATGAGCCTGTGAAGTGCTCTGAGCTGCCCCCAGCAGAATGGATGTCACTCACTAGAGAGACAAGCTCAGGGCTCTCCTGGGTCTCACAAGCACAGGTTACACAGGCCACCTGCACCTCCTCCTGTCTCCCAAACACTGAGCAAGGAACAGCCCTACGCATGCACAGCAGGGAACAGTCAAGAGGAATAGCAGCATGGACCAGGAACTTGAAAGTAAAGACAAGACCCTCCTCCACCACATAAATTCCTACAGACCAGGCTTTCCACATCTGATTTGGTGCTGCTGAGACTGCAGCAGTGGCACAGGGTGCAATCAGATACAGTTTCAGAATCGAAGCTCAGGTCAAACTGGGATTGGAGGTCAAATTAAGAATCTGCATCCATGCTTGCTCTCCCCACTTATTCTTTCAGTTGTTGAAATTCAAACTAGGTTAGCTCTGCTTATAAAATTGCTGCCATGTTGATTCACACCCSAGTAAATCCTTTTGCTCTGGAAATCTAACATGGCATCACAGGAGTCAGTTCAGTCAGATTGAAGCCAGTTTTTCTTCCCAAAATTCAAGAAATAGATACAGGAGGTGAGGCTTTTCTGAGAGGACTTATTTTACAGAAACATTATTTCTCAGCACTTACTTCTCCAAGATAYATTATTCAAGATCCTCTGGAGCTGAACAGCATTTATTTCAGGATTCTGTGAWATGGAAGAGAATTTTAATTTTTTTTTCTAAGTATTAAATCACTTTTCTCCCTCTTTTGTTTTCCCAGCATGTCCCATCTTCATTCTCTGCTTTTCTGGCCCCACTCCAGCCACTGTGAAAATCGATAGAAAAGACTCCCTTTGAATATGACAAGATTCTGAGCCTGCAAGAGCTGCAGTGTGCTCTGGGCTTAGTTCTCAGGKCTCCACAAAGATCAATGCAGTAGTGCAGATTTCCACCAAGTGAGGATGTACACCGTTAACCTTTCAGCCCTGGTGCCATCTGTCCCATCAAGCTCAGTGTCAAGAGATCTGTTTCAAACATTTTCCTTTTATCATTTACTAATATTAAAAAAAAAAAAAAAAAAAAAAAAAAAAAAAAAAAAAAAAAAAAGGAAACTTTGGAATACTTCTCTCCAAACTTTTCAAAGCAGAAATTCCCCCTCCTCCTTGTCATACTAAAGTTTACAGATTTTTTAGAAGCTGTGACAACTGTTAGTTTGGAGGATTTTTTTAAATGTCACTCTTCAAAAATAAAAGCCTGCTTTCAGATCATTGAGACAGGCCAGGGTAAAGCCTTCAGAAATGTCTCTGCCTCTGTGTGTACTGGGACATCCTGACAGCAAAGGACCAGCACCTTACAGTATGTAGCAAYTTCTAATACATCAAAGCCACACCATTCTCAAAACCAAAATCATAAACAAGGGGCAAAAAGAGAAGGCATTGCTTGGTTTTAGTAACAGCTTCCTTCAAAATATTCCTATTAAAAATGCAAATTTGTTTTTGTGAAATTGTGTTTGCCAAATACAGGTATGATTCTAAATAAACACAGTGACCTTTTCTGAAAGGTGAAAGACTTGCATCCCTCACTGTAGTTAGTGGGATCCCTAATGGTCAGCTCCACCCCAAATAAGGCCAGAGAGATCACAAAAAAGAATCTTTCACAGTAAGGATCATATTTCACTGCAAAAATTAGAGGGAAAAGGAGATGATGGGACACCTAATACCTATTTCAACTCTCAAAGCAAGTTAGTTGCCATTCAACTGTGATGAAGTATGGATGAGACAAGGTTCAACATTTCAGGGATGTTCTCTTATAGGTAACTTTTCCCAATGAATGTAAGAAACCCTAAAAGGTAGGATGGATTACTCCTTGTAAGTAATGTTTAGGGAGAGCATGTGAACCTRGTCAGCTGCTGCAGTCCATTCTGCAGCTTCTCTGTTGGAAAAGTGATCTTAAAGGGTACATACCTGCTCAGTCCTTCAGCATTTGTTTATGGACTTTCTGCCCATCAGTTTGCTAATACCTTTGGAGCCTCTTGATACTGCCACATCTACATTAAGTTCCAGGAACTGACACCCTGYTGTGCAGAGAACTGTGCCTGTCTCAATGCTATCATATTGCTAAGCTTCACAGGCATACATACTGCATGGAGTCATCACTGTACACATGGCCCACCCTCCTCTCCATAACCTTTCTCTGYTCCCCACACTTCCACAGACTTCCCTGGAACATCCACATGCTTTTACTTTCACAGAGCTACATAACAGCTCCGGAGGAGTTTACTCTGGCAGCTCATGCAGGCACTTACCTGTTCAAAATGCTTTGTGAAGAAGTCCTCCCAAATCTTGCCTTCATACCTATCAACAATTTCCTTTAAGGTATTAAAAAAAAAAAATCATTAGAAATCATTTACTTGCAGAAGAAAAATATTGTCAACCAAGTTATTAAAGATGCTTTCCCAGAATTGCATTCTGTTCCCTTCCCTTTCCACCTTCTCCCCACTACTGCAGTGTTACATTACTAACACAGCCCACTGCTAAGACACCCCCCCACAACACAGAAATGCTATTTCTCAGAGAGAAATATTCAGATAACATTTAGTGGGGAGAAACATTTCCCCCACCCCAAGCTGTACAAAGCAGGGAGCTCACTCTAGCAAGAAGAGAGAAGGGTCTCTGTCCTCCTTTATATAGCCCAGCAGAGGAGGTGAACACAGGAAAGGCCCTGTTTATGCCAGGGTAACAGACTATGATATAAATTCCCTCGCACAAGCTGCAGATGTGCCTGCACTGCCACTGAGACCAGTTATTCTGAAAATAACCTTTAGGCCATTGCATGGCAATAGTATTGCCAAGGTCCCATAGTGTCTTCAAAACTTTCATGGTGTGAAAGGGAAGGGGAGGAGTGCAAGACTGGACCATGAGTCTCCAAAAAGCCATGAAAAGGAAAGACTGCAGAGCAAGTAAGGTGGTGTCATTAAAAGATCTTTGCAAAAAGGCAACTGAGCTGTCTAAAGTTCTGCCTGTCCCCTCCATTTGACTGCATCTGCCCCCTTGGTCCAAAGGACTCTGTAAACCCAAGCTGTGCTTTCAAAAGTGCTGCAACACAAGCATTGACATTCTCACTCAGCCTCTCCATAGGGCAGAGCAACAGTAAAAACCCAAGACTCAGAGCTGCAGACTGAGCCACCCACTCACCTTAGAGAGGGTGAARCTCGTGTTGCCACCCATTTCCCTAGAGATGCAAAAAAACAGACATGTTAAAGAGAAATCTCAGAGTTGTCTGTTTGTCTCACTACAGGTGGCATCCCCCTCCTCAGATGGGGCCCCAGCCTGCTCTTGCAGTGTTTTATTCTCTGGTGCTACAGCTGCAGTAAGAGAAGGCCTCATGTCCACACAGCATCCAAAAGCTGCTGGCATTTGAAGCATCCAAAGCACCATTTCCATACAAGGAATTGTCCCAGCTTTGCCAATAGGGACTCCTGGCAAACTAACAGAGCTAAAAAGCTAAAAAACTCTTATCCTTCTCACAGTCTCAAACATGAGCATGCTGCAAGGATTGTGTGGGCCTAACTCAGCCTTTTTTGAAAGAATGAGGCAAAAAACAGTGAGAAGTGCTTCAACCACTGAGAATCCTAAGGCAGAAGAAACTCACAGCCAACCTCTCTGAAAGAGATTGTGCTGTTTTTTGCAGAGTTAAGTCTTTATACTGCCCCATTAGACCAGAAAGACAAGACTATCCCAGGGAATAAGGTGCTGGCAGAGGGGCAGCAGCATCTCACCGAAGGATGTGCTTCCTGGAGAAGACCCGCAGGATGAACTCCGACTCTTGCTGAGGCTCCAGCGTGCATGGGACAATCACRTAGACACAAGGCTCCAGATGGAAGTCATGAGTCACTTCCCGCTCATCAAGGAAAACCTGGTGCTTGTTCACAGGCTGATGTTGGGTGAAGAAACCTGGAGGCAGCTTTCTGCTGCTCTCCTGGTACTTTCAGGGAAGAAAGATGAGTAAAATGTGYTCCTGCCCCAGCTGAACACGGCCAAAAGGCATGTGGAGGATTCACAAGCGTGGCACAGCCAGCCTTCCTTCACATCTCGGTCTGTTTTACAGCACAAGCAGGTAACAGAGCCCAAAGAATTCAGTCTCCTCCCAGGACATGGTGGTTCTCACTATGCAGCACCCTTGCCCAATACGAATATGATAAAGGACTGGGCTTCCTGCAACTTACCAAAAAATCCCAACTACTTATAAGGAACAGCAGCAAGGACTGAGGAGGAGAAGCCGTTCCTGTCAAAGTGGCTAGTGTAAAAGTCCTTGCCATACTGGCCAAAATGACTGCAGGCAGGATCTGCTCTAGATCCTAGGCTAGAGACTGCCTTCACTAGCCAGAACACCCCTCATATCCCACAGGAGCCAGGCACTTTGTCCCCAAYTTGTCCTTTGTGCTAGGAATATTTCAGAGCACCTGTGATCTGAGCATACTGCATAAACGACCTCAGCCCTAGCCCTGACTTCATGGGTGTCCTTGATCTGTCTAGCACTGGGCTCTGKAGGCCCTTTTCTGCCACAGGATGATGGATAAAGTGTTGATCCAGGCAACATGGAATTAATTTAAATGCCACTGAGTGCCCAGTACACAAGCCCAATAAATAATCCTGCTAGCTAAAACTAYTGTCACCTTCTGATCTTGGCTGTTCCTCAAAACATTTAGCCATTTTACTCTGCAGCCTCATGGGGARATGCTATTCCTCTTCCCTTGCCAGTATTTTTCTTACTAATAGAGCAATCTTTCTTATGAAGGATTCAGGGTTACTCCTCCTCATGCCCCTTATGTTAAATTCAAAGTTTTTATATTCCAGTCAATACTCTGTTGACAGCAGTTCCAATACCTTAGATGCTCTCAGCTTGCCATCTCTCCGTATTGATCTTGGCAACCACTACAAACCTGAAATTAAAGTCCTGTATACCACCACTCCCACTCAGGTGGCAGAGCACTGTGCTAGGGCCACACTCAGACCCCCTCTGCTAGAAAGTTTACCTTGCTTGTAAGCCTGATTGKGACCAAGATATTTAAGTCAGGAAGGAATAGCATCTTACCTCATGGTTACAGAGCTGGGAATACAGTAACTAGGGACACAATTGTGCTGCCCTAACATATATCCAAACTAGTTCTTTTCCAGCCYAAGTTCTCATTTGAGTAGGAACAGAGTGGAAGATATGCCCTTTAAAGACAAAAGGAGCTAAATCTTTCCCATTTTTAACAGCCCTATGAAGTCAGGGCCAAAATTGGTACATACATTGGGATTTAAGTCCCAGGGCCCCTTCTCAGATCCCAAAGGCTCTTGGATAATGAACATGCTAGAAATATAGCAGGCCCGAGGAAGCTGAAAACACCTGTAKCATCAGCTCCAGATGACTCCCAGTCAGSCAGGARCCTGAGCTCTCYAGAACTCTGATTTGCATGGGGCAYAGGCTCTTTTCCCACCTCATGCCAAGACTGGAAGGCAGCAGAAAGGCAGCTCTGAMTCCCACAGTACAGCCAAGAGTTGGGGCACCATCCCACAGCTGCAGCAAGGATGAAGTGCTCATCAGATAAAGGCTGATGACACTTCTAATACCTTTGAAGACCCAGTCCAGAAGCTGAACAACTAATGTCCCCTTTTAAGGCCAATGAGATCTCCTGACATGGCTGCTTTTCAGAAGGGTCAGAGGATGGTTCTGCATTAGCAGTGCCTTGCTGTGATGCCTCACTGAACTCAAATACTGTCACTCACTGTCAGCCAAGRAACAAAGGCAAACACACCCCATTCAGCATTGTCTTAACAGCTGCACTGGCCCAGCTTCCCCCGAAAACAGCCAGMAGTGGTGACAAGGGACTCACCTGTAGGCCCACCTGCAGGAAGAAAAGAAACATCAATCAGGATCTCTCTGTCTCACAAAACACAGCCAAGTCATTCCTGGGAATCAGAGCAGTTACATACATCTATATGGGATCTTTGCCTTCAGAAATTTCAACCCTCCACCCAAAAACCTTCTCCACATTCACCACTCCATAACTGTGCATGCTCACAGCAGCAAACAAGACCTGTGTCTCTGTTCCAGGGAGAAGAGTGGCTCTCAAGGCACTCAGATAARCAGAGGATTGAAGGGAGAAAACTCTCACTCCTTCTGGTAATACCCACTTACCTTTGGATACAAAGGGAGCTAGCAATATGCACATATGGGCAGTTGCCACATCATACTAGGAACACTTCTCAGGCACCATTTTACCATGGCTGGAAATAACCTGAGGGCAGAGCTCTTCCTGCCCCAAAGTAAGAGAACTCCTGGAACCCTCTTCCAGCTCTTGCACATACCCTTAGAGGCAGCAATATAAAGCCCAATGTGCTTTGAAGCAGAAGGCCTGTCTCACTGCTGTGCAGAGTGACACACAGCACACTGGAGAAGCAGCAAGGARTACACAGAGCCCAAGGCAGCCTAACCATGATGTGTGAGGAGGMACAGGCAGGAGGAAAGAGCACAGATCAGCCTGTGCACAACAAAACTCTTGAACTGCAGAGCMCTACAGCCAACAGAGGCTGCAAGTTTTCCTATTTGGTGAGAGCAAGACAAGCAAAGCAATTCTTCACACCTTATAGAGTAAAAATCCAATGAAAAGGTGAGGAGCTCGGTTCCGGTGTTTGCTGCTGTGCTTCTGCATGAGGGATATAACCACATTGCATGAACTTGGGCTTTTCTTACTGTCTTCAACTGGTAACACAYTCAGCCAGTATTGAGGGTTCATCCAAAAGCTGCCTAAGTGAAACAAGAAAAAAAATTCATGTAATKTTCTATCATAAAATTGATTGCCAGCTTCCCACATGATGCCTGGCATTGGACTGAATATGTCACAGGTTGTCTAGATCTCCAGACCCCACAGGAATTTGATTTTAAGGTGCAGTTCACAAGTTTAGCAGTGCAACTACTACCTAAGACAGGAGAATGACCCAGGAATGAGGAGCTATAATTCTGCTTACACACAACTAAGAGCTCATTTTGTTTACAGATGTATCACTACTCCTCTTACCTCTGGTGTATGGGCTAGCTGACTTCAGACTCYACCTGCTCTGCTTCCAGAAGAGCTGAGTCTCTGACTTTCTCATTCACTTTACTTAAAACACATTCCCTGGAGGTGCTGAGGTTGCAAATTTTAACAGACAACTTTAATGCCCTAGAGCAGATCAGTGCTGGCAATTGATCCTGGGATCCCAAAGCTTATTTCATGGTGTAATCAGCCCACTGCCCCATGTTTGCAAGCAGTGCATCTTCTGTGATAGCAGAAGCCAGTCAAAGAAGTCCTTCAGCTGCTTATTTCTGATATTTGTGTGGAGGCTTAAACAGGAGGCACATGTTTCTTTTATCAATTTTATATTAATAAGTTATAAAGAACTGGTAACTGAGTCAGCAGAGCATCTAAAAGTCAGAGTCATCCAAAAGAGCACCCCTTACCATTAGAGAATCCCAGACTTCCTCCTGCTGTACTTCCTTTAACCCATCTGCCCTTCTGCAAGGAGTACATCCACTTTTTCCCATCTTCCTGGCTCATCAGGTCTGGAGTTAATTTACAGATCATCAGATCTACAAAATGAATCTTAAAATCTCGCAGAGACATCCTGGGAAAAGAGTGCCAAGAGACATGTTGTCAGCAGTTTAGTTTAGTCCATATGGCTCATAAAACGAAAAGAAAAGAGAGAAGGGAATTTTGAAGCCACACCATTCTGTGTTACATATGGTAATGCTCATATTTTATTAGGCAGTAAAGAAGAGAGCGTCTGCTTCAACAGCAGCATCTAGGAGTAGCAAAGCAAGACTAAAACTTCAGCAAAGGATAGCAGAACAGAGAATAAAATAATCTTGCCAGCAAAGGGGATGCAGTGGAATTATTACCGGGGCGGCAACATTGCCACCTCGTGGCAAATCTGTGGAGAAACCATGGACAAACAGGCAAGCAAGAGCTTCGCGAAGCTATGTTAAAAAAAAAAAAAAACAAAAACACACAGGCAGGAGAAAAGCTCCTGAAAGCTGCCCTTTATCTCCAGCAGCCCCAGGAGCCCGGGCAATGCCCTGATTCTCCCTCACTCCTGCACTGAAGACAGTACATCCCATGTCAGCCTAGCCACTGCTTCTCACAGCTTCAAGCTGAGARGAGCATGGGCTGCTGTAAAGCACATCACCTATGCTTTGGCCCAAGTGGCAATGTGCTGCTTCAGGTGCAGCCCCAGGACCAGTGGCAGAGAGGGAGAAGCAAGACTGTGCCATTACCAGAATTCTCCATCCTCCTTCTTTTTCCTCAGCAAAATCTTCTCCTTTGGGCTCAGCAGCTCCCATTTGTAAGAGCTAAGGGAAAAAAACATCACGTGACTAACCAAATCTAGCCACAAATTCAAGGTAGAAGACATAGCTTCCCTCTAGGCCAAATCCGTGTTCCTACATGTCTCCATAGTGGCTTATCCCCCACTATGYCTTCAGCCACAGCAGACTCTTCATGACCACCCTGGGTCCCATGGGATGTAGTTAAATAGCTCCAGTTTTCTCYAGAAGAAGCCAGAAATGTTCCATTTCCATCAGCCAGTCCCTTCACTKGAACACACAGCTTCCAAGTACTTAAAATATAAAAATCTAGACCTGCTTTGTTGGTTAATTTTCTGTCAAAGGAGACATAATGGGAAGAGTGTTTGCYGTAATGAATGAATGACTAGGACAGCACAAGAGGCAGCTGGGAGTCGTTTCAAAGGCAGGCCTGCAGTATGCTGCTCATTATGCTCTTCAACAGAACAGCTGGTGTGTTGTCRTTATGTGACAGACACACATCAGAGAAGTTACTGCTCTGCAGACAAGGTGAAAGTCATCCACATTCCAAACGACCTCTGTACTCTTCCCTCCTTTCTACACCCTGAGCCTCAGCAAACAGCCTGTGCAGGGAATGGAGTGAAGCTTGGAAGGAAGAAACATGCTCTACTTCGAAGAGGAACAAGACACAAGTTTACAGATGTCCATGGTCTAGAATGCAAACCACTGTCTGTCATGGGTCCCAATTAAAAAAGGAAAGAAAGGTAAATGCAAATAGGGCCCATTTATCTCACTAGTTGCTTCCTCTGATTTCCCAACTGTATTTCCCCAAGTAGCCAGGACAGAGGACTCCTTCATAGCTACCCAATTCTGACATCTTGAAGCCTGTGGAAGCTTTTCTTGGGCCCTCCCATGATAAATGACTGTATCTTAAAACATGGGGTTTTATTTTAGAGCCTCCTGCACAGCTATCTGTCCCTTTGCCTGCTCTCCAGACCACYTCAACATGGTCAGCATCTCAGATACATATTATGTTTCCTCTGGCATTTAGTGAAAGGAAAAGCAGAATTGATTTGAGTGAGGCTGCATGTGTGAAGAGAGACCAGCTACAGAAGCACTGTCTGCTGGAGACAAAAATCTATGGAGTCATTGCTTTGAAACCAGAAGGTTTGTGCAAGCAACTGTTACTTTACTGCTGCCCTCAACATTARTTCATGCCTGAAGATGGCAGCATCTTCCCTCCAAGAAACCTTTCTTCTGCTCAGTTTCACACCTTTGCTTTTTTAAACTCACCTGTCACTCCAGTCTCCTTTCCACTCAATTTTTCCCCATGGATTTCTCAGTCTCACTAGGTTTTCTGGTCCATATTGACAGGTTACCTACAGAAAACAGTAACACTGTGCTTACCAAGGTCTCGGCAGTTCWCATCTGGTTTATATCATTGTACTATGCCGATATTAACAACGATTTTGTTTGTTCTCATAGATGCCAGCAAGTGTGGTGATAAAAATCTTTGAATATGCAACTCTGAATGCCAGCAACAAAGAGATTAAGGTTCTTCATCTTACATTCTAAACTGAAAACAGAGACATCACAGAWTCCTAATCTAGAGGCTTGACTATAAATTCCTCTTCCTTTCCAACATCTGCTCATTTTGTACTTGTGTGAGAGCCAAGTTTTACTCCAGAGCAATGGCACAGCACAATGCAGCCCCCATGGGTGACCACACAGATTAAAGTCTCCTGAACTGGGATGGCATGGTGGGAGGAGAGGGAGCCAGGCCAATTAGGGGTTTTGTGGCCGCACACAGCAGAATAGCTGACTTCACACTGTTTCCACACGCTTGGTCAGTCCCTAAATGCTGCCTGGCTCTTCATGTCATCAGAGGAGCCAGACTGACAGACACCTTGCTGAAAAACTCYACACCTAAACTCCTCCTGCTCCTCCTGTGGGAGACACAAATGTGCCTCATCCAGCTCATCTCTTCTGCCCTTCCTAGTATCTCTTGCTAGAGGTACCGAACATGCTTTCACCAACATGTGCAAAGCCCCACAGTCCTTTCCCATCCTTCTCAACCTCCTCTTGAGGCTGCACAAGATGGTCATCCAYCAGCTCAGGAGGAAAAAGCTCTTACTCTTTGGGACCCATTATTTCACATCCTTTAGCTCTAGCAAATATCCTAAGGGGACTCGCAGTAATACTTCTGTAGATTAGTGGGGTCCTSCTGCACTCTGTGCATAGAAGCACAGTTCAGTTTGCTTACTCTACCCTTGACTCACATTTCTATCTGCAGTTTTTCATATTTTGGCCTTTGCATTTTTAGTTCTCTATGGCTTCTCCACTGACTTCAGAGGAAGGCTTTTTAYCCCAAGTGAAAAGCACATCCCCAAGTTTCAGCACATCCTCCCAGCAGCCCCAAAGGCCAAGTCCTCTCAACCTTAACAGCTATGATGCWTTTCTAGATGATGGTCTCAGTAGAGCCCTATGAATCATTCCCACCCTCAGAGATATGCTGGCCCATAACCATTGTCCTTTACATCAAGGCCTCCAAATTAAAACGTGATTCACTGTGAAAGTGAATCTTAACAGAGCACAGAGTCTCTTCTAGCCTTAGATTAAGGAAAGTATACTAGGGAGGAGATACTATAGTTGCTGTGATCAATGGCTGAACCTATGACTGCAGTAAAAATTGCTGATGTCCAAATTAACCTGGACCCAAGACATTAGGGCTGGTCTTACCTTTCTAATACCAGTTACTGTGTAGGCATGGCCAGCAACAAGCCCATTCTTCAAGACCTTTGTTGCCTGTAATAAGAAAGAGAAACAGAAGGAAAATAAACCTTTAATTCTATCCCTACTCATACAACCAACTCATACCAATACCAATACCAATACCAATACCAATACCAATACCAGAGACGTACTTGTGTAAGCAATAACTTTCAAAGTAAAAGAAGCACAGAAAAATAAATAAATAAATGGAAGCTCCTAAGAGCAGATTTTGCAACATGCTTGGAATTGGAAGGTTGATTGTGAGCATCCCTTCCTCAATTATGGATCTCTGGCTAGAGACCATCTCACTTTAAGGAAGTTCAGAAGGTTACGTTTTGATTTTCAGAAAAGTAGAGTTTCCCCACAGCTGAGGTGGTAGCATAAAGCTTGGAAGCCAAGATTTGAATTCATGCTCTTATACACCTCTCTACCTTAGCTATAGCTTTATTCCATGCATGTCTGTACCTCACTGCACCATCTGTAAAAATGAAAAATTTATTTARCAAAAATGAGAAAAGGCAGTGGGTATACATTTAATAGAATTTCTTTGCTCGATAAACTGGTTCCTAAACATAACAACAGGGAGCTGAGAGCATCAGGGAGTCAACCTATGAGCCAAGTTTAACATAAAGAATGTGACTTYTACTGAAAGCCAGTTGTGGCACCTTCAATACTTTTTGAGTCACAATGACCAGCTGAGCAGAGGGAAACAGGTCTGRAAAGGCTTTTAACTGTAAAGACATTTGATGTCACTCCAAGCCTCACCCCTAAGTGTGTCTGACAGCCCATGAGAGATCTGCTGTAGGTGGCCCTTGTCAGGATATCCCACAGATCAGGAGGAGCTTCTGCAAGCTTGATCCTTGTATTGACACCCCCTGTAAAATCCACCAGGGCTTCTGAAACTTGCCCAATCTGCAGATCTTCATAGGAGCCATACAGTCTAGCAAAAAAAAGACATCAATATATTTTTTGGGTTTTAGTTACAGATGACAGGTTGAGAACAGCTTGCCAATGAAAACATTAAAAAAGTGTGCAAAAAGCAAAAGGAAGGCTGTAACTCATRTCTAATTTTAGGGGAATTTCTGATACTTAGGAAGAGGGGAATCTACAAAACTGCCTCCAGGATCGGCTGTAGTCTGAAAGGGACTCCTCACTCGCTGTCATTCCTGACTGCATTGTAACAAGAACATGCCCATCATGACTCTTTGATAACTCTGCCTTAGAGAATGTTGCTTCAATTGATCACCAGGCAGTACTGTATCTAAGATATAATGCCTTGAGAGATACACTGTCTTGAGAGCTCAGTCCCTAATCTGATTTTATCATTGCAGTGCAACTTGGTCCAGTCTTTTCATTCTAACACCATATGAAAATACCCAAACATTCTCACTTTTGTGTGATCTTTCTCGCGGTGTTAACTAGAATATTCTTCCCTGCTCTGCAGAGATTATTTCAGCCAAATATTAACAAACTCCATCAGTTAGGCCTTGTTGCTTTCTTCCTTGTGCTGATACCAGTACTAGAGTTTACCACCATAGACAAAACACYCTGGAGAGAAGCCACTGTTCTCACAGTACCATGTGACTTGCTACATGCCTCAGCTTTGGGGACCTGAGAGCAAAAACATCTGCCAAAATAAAGTGCAGCACTTCAACAGACCTCCAAAATGAAAATCCTTGGAGGTTTCTCACACTGATAATGCATTAAAGGAGGCTTTGGAAATCATTCACATTTGAAAATCTCTATCTGTGGTGTTCCACTCCTCTGTGGTATTTACAAAGAAGGCATCAGCGTAAGCCAATACACTGCAAACAATGATAACACTCAGAGGACAASTCCTCACAATAGGTCTGTTTTCACACCTAAACCCTTGGATTTAAACTCAAGGGCCCAGATTGATTACAGTTACTGCAATGGCAGCTTTTACTGTGTAATAATTGAAAGATGAGAGCCATCTACTCCTAGTGTAGCAAGGCCTACAAATGCACCAAGGAGATGCATTTATAAACAAGAACAAACTGTGTGGGCACCAACCAACATATTTTAGAGAGACTATTTGCATAACTTGAAATGAGTCACTTACTTAGCATATGCCTTCTCCAGAAGGGCTCCCCAGAACACGTTCTTGTAGACCGAGGAAACAAAGAGCAGCTCCCCTGCCTCATTCACCGGCAGGCGATCATCAACCACCACGTCAACCCATTCCCCGAAGTGCCAGAACTGTCAGGGGAAAGGAATGAGCTGATGTTTCCCTTGGAAGGGACCTCCCCTTGAAACAACAGGAAAAGCAAGATAGCCTAGCTGTGGGCACAGAACAAGGTGCTGTGGGTCAGTGGGATGTGCTGACTCACCCACAGAGCCAACTCCTTGGACCCACCCAKAGGAAAAAACAAAGCATGTATCAGGTGTAAAAGGAATAAGCAGGAAAATTTGATACAGCTGGACTTCTGGGGAAGGAATTCCTAACTGCAGGGTAGCAGAGTTGGACTAAKATGTGGGCAAAGGGATAGAAGATTGGAGTTGATGTGCTCAGGTCCTGCTAACTGTTGCCACTCTTGAAAAGAGTTTTGTCTGGGTTAAAATATGGGTAGGACACAGAYGGAGAGAGCAGCCAAGAAGAGGTGTATCCTCAGAGTGGCCTGYAGTTGATTCACTGCCTGCACTACTTTGTGGGAAGGGTGATGGGCTTCCCTCCAGATGGGGATACCCTCTGGCCACTTGCCCCAGATATAAATTATCTAAGGGTGTGACACAAAACATAGCAGAGGATATCTGAGGATCTCTTGCAATCTGGGGCAGCAGCTGTACCCGGAAGTGGAAAATGCCAGCGTATTTCCTCTCAAAGCTCTGGTTTTGTGGCACGACTGCAGCCAAGATGTCCTGGTGGAACGTCAGGGCTTCCAGGGCCGCCAGGAACCAGCAGTTCTCTGCGCCAAGACAAACGGACACATGCAGCTGGCTGAAAAGCAAGAGCTCTCAGCCAAGTTCAGCAACACCACCAAGATCCCAGCAGAACAACTGTTGTGCTGATGTCTTTACAATTACAACAAATCATACACAGAAAATTAGCTGATCCAGACATGTGCTTTATTTAACCAAAGAATGATTGGTTTATAATTGTTTTCTCATGATCTTTTCATTTTGGTACTGTTTGGTTAAATAAGACTTTTAGCAAGCAAGAACTGTCAATGGAAACATTCTGGGACATTATGGGGCATTTTCTCTGTTCACTACAAAGGTACACTATTTAAAAAAAAAACTTTTCCAATTTTCTTTGAAAACCTTAGATTTTCAGAAAATAAAATAATTTCCAGTGGATCTCACATGCAAGACTGTACTTAGCAAACTTTGTTTCTAAGGACAYAAAGCACYTAAAAACTAATTTAGTTCCRCCTCCACCTGTTTTGCAGACGACARTATATTCTTTYACTTTAGGCAACACAGGCATAAAATCATTTTTCTAACTGCAAGGCTGAGAAGAGAACACACACTAAGCATTAGGAGCAAATACATACAAAGTCCTTCTGTGGTCTCTGCTCAACTGCCAAGCAATTGAGGTCTTACTGGTCTCCACAGACCAGTAAGAGCACAGGATCGCTTCCTATTAGTATGKGCAGAAACAACACAGAGGGGTGATTTCACCTTGTGGAGACACCTCTCATGCCTCAAATCCCACCTCAAAGCTTTCCAGCTTATTTACTGAACCTATGCCATCTTAATGATTGCTTCATCCACACCATGCCAAGTAAAGTGAGGAGATGAGCACCCATTTCCWTGCCAAGTTTTATACCTTCAAACTTCCATGCAAAATATTATCTTGTRTAAGAATACTTTGATATTTATACAAAGGAGTTTCCTTACCCACTAATCCTTGGCAGAGATCAGGCTGTTTTCTGTTTGCAGAATAAAATACAGGACTTTTGTGCAAAGCCTGGGAAGCA